TAAAAAAAAAAGAAATAGAGGGTTTAATTCACATTTTAGCACACACACAGTTTGTATTATGTCTGGCTCACTTGCACATCTTTTTGTGGAATCGATTGCCTAGCTGGATGAATGCTGCATGCAGATCTGCTTTGACATCAACAGATAGGCTTGTTAATTTAACCATGTTATTGCTCTTTTTGTACACTTATTTATCACACACACACACACACACACACACACACACACACACACACACACACACACACACACACACACACATCCACACAAACACCTGCAGTCACATTTAAATGACTATTCATAAAAGCTATGCTAGACAACTCCCTAATTGTTCTTTCAGAAGTCAGACTGGTTGGACGTTTTACTTTTTCTGGGAGCTTAGAGATACCACATGCTCAGATGTGGACACAAGAGATTCAGTGCAGAGGAAATGAGTCTCAGATTCATTTCTGTACAACATCATCATCACATGAAGAAAAATGTTCTCACGAAAGCAGTGTTCATCTATTGTGTGCAGGTTTGGTTGATATTTACCTTAGTGTTCTTTACATGTAAAATAAATATGGTATGGTTGAGGTGTGAGATTTGTGTGTGTGTGTGTGTGCGTGCGTGCGTGCGTGCGTGCGTGTGTGTGTGTGGTACTTATACTTTGTTCGCATTTCCCCCTTATCCTTATTTATATTGTAGACAGTGTGAGAGTGAGGCTGGTTGGTGGTGACAGTCGCTGTTCTGGCACAGTGGAGGTTCTTCATAGAGGTCAGTGGGGAACGGTGTGTGATGCTGGCTGGGATATGCTTGATGCTGCAGTGGTGTGTAGAGAACTGGACTGTGGAGAACCTGTAGATGCTCTGGGTGATGCTCACTTTGGACAAGGTTCAGGACCAATCTGGATGAATCGATTGACATGTACTGGATCAGAGCCAAAGCTGAGAAACTGCGGATCAATAGAATGGAGTATGTATCACTGTGATCATACTAAAGATGCAGGAGTCATCTGCTCTGGTGAGCTGCTTTAAATTTCATCCTGTTTTTACATCACTAAATGTAATATAGTACTATTTAAGACATCATTAGAACATCATGATACCCTTTGAATGTCATTCTGTATCTTCTTTGTGCATTGACATCATAAAAAACAGAAACCAGTTACAGTATTTTCAGACATTCAGGTCATATCCAATAACCCTTGTGGTTTTACAGTTCAACTGACTTTCTCCTATGGATTACAAAAATAGTGCAGAAATGTTTGGTAACACTTTATAATAACTGAATACTATGAATGTTTTATTAAGCATTAGCAAATAGTTAATTAATCTCTTGTAAAGCATTAACTCCACATTCACATTAATAGACATTAGTAAGCAGTTAATAACTACAGCTACAAAAGCTTTATTTTAGCACATGTATACTGTAACACACAATGTGTTTAATGATTGTATTTTTATTCTTTGTAAATGATTATTTTTTACTTATTTTGTTACTAAATTAAGTATTGCATTATTTACAAAGCGGTTATTTAGTGGTAGTTTGTGTTGTTTTAAAGATCATTCGAAATAATTAAGTAAATGATTAATAAACTATTAAAATAAACATTTATAATTCTTATTATTCAGGCATATAGTAATAATTACTCTAGGTGTTAATAAATGCTTTATTAACACATCTTTATGTCTAATTTAAAGGGAGGACTAATGGTGCTTTTTAAATCTCTTATAAATGACAATTAAAGGCTTAGTTATATTCCAAACTTAAAAAAGGAAATAATTGACATGATTTGTTATGAGTGAATCATGACACATATATACAGTTGAGGGCAAAATTATTACCTCTCCTGTCCAAGATTTATTATTTTCCAAATATTTTCTCAAGAGATATGTAACGAATTAAGGCATTTTTTTACAGTATTTCCTAGAATATTTTTTCTTCTGAACAAAGTCTTGTTTTGTTTTGTTTTGTTTTGGCTAAAATAAAAGCAGTTTTAATTTTATAAAATTATTTTGTTTAATTAAATTTTAAGGTCTAGCTGTAGTAGCTGTAGCTGTAGTTAGAAACTGCTTACTGATGTTTATTAATGTGGAGTTAATGCTTTGCAAATAATTAATTAACTATTTGTTAATAATTAATAAATGATTCAGAGAGTACATTGATTATAAAGTGTTACCAAGTATTTATATATTTAAATAGCCCCATTCTATATTCAATGATATATAAACTCATACAGTACATGTTTGCATCAATTAAATTTATTTTCTTTTTAACTGGCACTTTTTGGTTGATCAGTAATGAAAAGTATAACACTAGGGTTAAAAAGGATATAAAATCCTTTTTTTTTTTGTTTGATTTGTTTCTTTTTTCATTAGGCCACAGGCTTACTAGAAACTCTAGTTGTTCTGGGATAGTGGAAGTACTTCATGATCAGACGTGGATGTCAGTGTGTGACGCTGCCTTTGACCAGCAGGATGCAGAGGTTGTGTGTAGAGAGCTGGACTGTGGGGCTCCTGTACAGGTGCTGAGAGCTGCTGCTTTTGACAAAGTTGACGCTCAGATGTGGACACAAGAGATTCACTGCAGAGGAAATGAGTCTCAGATACACCTCTGTCCAACATCATCATCACATAAAAGCACATGTTTACATGATAAAGACCAGGGGCTGCTGTGTGCTGGTAAGAGTTGGATTTTCATGAGAGTTAAAAAATTCTTCTAAATTTGTTTTCACTTTTCACATGTTGATTGTTATTCTTATGTTACTTACATATATCACATAATCACTCACTGTAGGTGTAAAGAATGTGAGAGTGGTAAATGGTAAAAGTCCCTGTGCTGGTCGAGTGGAGGTTCTTCATAGAGGTCAGTGGGGAACAGTGTGTGATTATTTCTGGGATATGGCTGATGCTGCAGTGGTGTGTAGAGAACTGGACTGTGGAGAACCTGTAGATGCACTGGGTGATGCTCATTTTGGACCAGGATCAGGAACAATCTGGATGAGTGTTGTATTATGTGCTGGAAGAGAGTCTAGATTAGAAAACTGTGGATCAGCAGGTTGGAATAAATCTCTGTGTACGCATAAAAGAGATGCAGGTATCATCTGCTCAGGTAATAATAGTGGAACTCAATGTATTCCAGACTTTTTAACCTCTTTCTGTATTATACAGTATATTTATATTTTATACTTTTAATAATGTTCATTTAATTATAGTAACATTTTACAGCGTTAATTATTTGCTTATATATTGCTTAAAGATGTTAATGTCTTCAATGTAAACAGGTCATATACAATCCAAACTTACTGCTGGGCCGCACCTGTGCTCTGGAAAATTAGAAATTCTTCATAATCAGACGTGGATGTCAGTGTGTGACGCTGCCTTTGACCAGCAGGATGCAGAGGTTGTGTGTAGAGAGCTGGACTGTGGGGCTCCTGTACAGGTGCTGAGAGCTGCTGCTTTTGACAAAGGAGACGCTCAGATGTGGACACAAGAGATTCACTGCAGAGGAGACGAATCAGCCATTGGATTCTGTCCTGCATCCATCTCCTTACATACACAATGTTCCAGTGACAATGCAATAGAAGTAATATGTTCAGGTTAAATAACATTTGACATGTTTTACATATAAATATATTTTATTTCATTTATGAAGAAAAGTAGGTTTAAACTTTAAATGTTTTAACTGTTTTAACACTATTCTGTTGCAATAACCTTCTCACAGGTTACACTGATTTCGGACTTGTACCTGTAAATGGTTCAGACTCTTGTTCTGGAAGAGTGGAGCTTCAGTATCTCAGTGAATGGGGCACAGTGTGTGATGCATGCTGGGATATGAGAGCTGCCAGTGTCCTCTGTAAACAGCTGAATTGTGGGATTGCTGTGTCTGTTGTGGGATCAGACTGGTTTGGAGAGGGAAGTGGTGAAATCTGGGCTGATGTGTTTGATTGTGACGGGAATGAAACAAAACTCTCCGAATGTTCAATCTCTTCATGGAGTCGAGCTGAACGCTCTCATAGACGAGATGTTGGAGTCATCTGCTCTAGTGAGGACATTTTATTAGAATAAATTAATAAATTACTTGTATTAATATCTTTATAAACTGCCTCATGTTTGTCTTCAGACTCGTCTCTGGCTCTTCATGAGGGTCTGGTGCGGTTGTCTGGAGAGAGTCAGTGTGAGGGGCAGGTGGAAGTTTTGATCCAGCAGGTCTGGAGGAAGGTTCTGCTGGACTCCTGGAGTCTCACTGAATCCTCTGTGGTCTGCAGACAGCTGGGCTGTGGCTCTGTGCTCAACTTCTCGGGCTCCTCTTCATCCAGTCCTGAACACAGTCATGAGTGTGTGATGGGCTTCCAGTGCTCTGGGAGTGAAGCTCATCTGGGGAACTGCAGCTCTCCACAAACTCTCAACTGCAGCTCCACACAACAGCTGTCAATCACCTGCCTTGGTGAGAACAACAACACCTGGGCAGATTCTGGAGTTGTTCCTGATCAATAATGTGTTTCTCTTTCTCTGAATATCAGGCCGCGGGTCCATCAGGCTGGTGGGTTCTGGGGGAGACTGTGCAGGGAGGCTGGAGGTTTTTCACAGCGGCTCATGGGGGACAGTGTGTGACGACTCCTGGGATATTAAAGATGCCCATGTGGTGTGCAGACAGCTGCAGTGTGGAGTGGCCCTCAGTAACCAGCAGGTACCAGCCTGGTTTGGTCCTGGTTCTGGACCCATATGGCTGGATGAGGTGGAGTGTGAGGGGAACGAGACGTCCCTGTGGAGCTGCTCTTCTCTAGGCTGGGGAAAACATGACTGTCGACACAAGGAGGATGTTGGAGTCATCTGCTCTGGTGAACAGTACACTACATTATATACTTCATATACTGTAAATGTAACAATACCTACATTGGCCGAGATAGCTTAACACTTTGCAACTTAAGAAGGAAAAAAAATGCTGCAAATCCTCACAACACAAACACAGATAGAAAAATACTTTTGAGATAAAAATTATCCTATTTCTCTATCTAGAGTATAAAGAGATCAGGTTAACTGAGGGCTGTGAAGGGAATGTGGAAGTTTTCTACAATGGATCCTGGGGAAATGTGTGCTGGAATCAGATGGACAGAGACACAGTGAGTCAGATTTGTCAAGAGCTGAACTGTGGAAGATCTGGTGTTTTGTCTGATTCTACATCAAGAGTGGAATCAGCCCCTAACTGGCTGGATAAGGTGAAATGCCGACCACATGATTCAAATATTTGGCAGTGTCCATCTTTACCCTGGGAACAGAATCATTGCAGTAGAGATGAAGTGGCCAAAATTATATGTTTAGGTAAGGTACTGTACAATATAAAATTCGCTCTATATAATATCAGAGAAACACACACCATGCTTGTATTGTCTCTATTAGGATATATCAAATTACCTGAGGTGTGTCAAACCTTACAAATATATCACAAAAGATTGATTGTTGTTCATTATTGTCAATAACTGTATTGACTAATGCTATCTAATGTAACTGCTGGTTTTTATGACATTTTTAGTGTTATATCATTAGCAATTATAAGTATTTTCTAATTTGATCAAAGTTATGGATTTAGTATTATATAGAATAACATGAATAACTTTATATTCCAGAACAGACAGTTCAAGAGTCCCCTCGAAGCTATCTGTCATGGGTGCCATTACCCCACCAGAGAAAGGGCTCAGGCAAGTTTATTTAAGATTACAGGAAAATTTAGCTTTAGTTTACATCTGTAATGTAAAACAAAAACTGTTGTTATTGTTGCTGTTATGACTGTGATGGAGACTGATCAGTTTTTTTTAATGTGTAAGTATAGAATGCCTACCTCTCAGACTGCGTGGAGGGGATGGCCGGTGCTCTGGGAGGCTTGAGGTGTATCATAACACTGTGTGGGGCTCAGTCTGTGATGATCTCTGGGACATCAGCGATGCTCAGGTGGTCTGCAGACAGCTGGGGTGTGGAGCAGCACTGAGGGCTGATGGGAATTCAGCCTTTGGTGCTGGTAAAGGTGTTGTGTGGCTGAACAGAGTCCAGTGCAGAGGGAATGAGCTTCACCTGTGGGACTGTCCTCTCTCCCTGAACAACCACACTGACTGCACCCACAAAGAGCACGCTGGACTCACCTGTGCAGGTCACTGCAAAGTTTTTGAAATAATTTTAGTGCTAGAATTTTTTATTGTATTTTAATCAGTCATTTGCATTATTTTGAATCCGTTTTAATAGACTTGACGGATTTGTCAGTGTCCACTACTCCTGCCACATCAGCATCATCTTCTGCTGCAGTTTCTCAGACAGTGAGCTCAACATCAGTCTCTCCTCCACAAACTGGTCCAGAAACTCTCCCAGTCCCCCCAGTGCTGGTGATTGTACTGGGAGTTGTGCTCTTACTGCTCTTAGTGCCGCTGCTTATACTGATTCAGCAGAACAGAGTGATGAGGAGAGGTAGGAGAGATCCAGAGACTGTCATATTGTGTCTTCTTCAGTGTGTGATCAGTCATGTGTTGTGAACTGACAGCAGGTTTGTGTCGACACTCACAGCTCTCTCTAAGAGGAGACACAGAACCACCACTGAGGCCGTTTATGAAGAGCTTCAGAACAGAAACACTAATAGACACATTGTCTTCACTCAGATTGGTGAGTTAATGTCATGGTGTATGGTTTGTGAAACAAACATAAGTTTATTCACTGAAGTTTGTGGAGTAAATGTTTGATTAATTAAAGTGTGTTATATAATAATAATATAAGATTAGTTTTGTAATTAAAAGTAAGTAAGGATTTTGCATAATTTACAACTGGAAACTTATCACTGATGGGCCTGTTCCTCCATAACAGGTAATGCTCATTCTGAAGAACAGAATTCTGGGTATGAAGATGCTGATGCGCATCTTTTAGGTTAGACATCTTGAGTATAACACTCTTACCTGTTACATACTGTACAGAATTGAAAGTATGTTGAATTAATAACCGTAATATATTTATCTTTTCATTCCAATTATACAAATAAATTAGAATGTACTAATTTACATTGGGATTCATTCAATTTTTTCTTTCATCTATGTTTTTAAGCGAATTGTGCAGTGACTTCTGCACCTGTCAATAGCAGTGGAATCACCACTTCTAGAGGGCCAACAGGTCAGTGACTGCAACTGATTTCACTTAATTAAATCATTTACTTGACATCTACAACAATAAAAAAAGTTTTTCCTCTTTGGTGTTTGCCGATTTAGAAGAGCAGCAAGTCACAACAGAGAGTTATGACGATGTAATCATTGTTGGACTGAGACCTTGTGGTACAGGTAAATTTCCTATGATTCTTTTAGGATTAAGTAAAAAAATGCATTTTAGTTATACATAATCATTTAATTGTATGATTGCATATTATCTTATAATTGTAATATTTTGTTGTATGTGGTTTACCAGAAGACTATGATGATGTCATCATCGTAGGACAGTTCTCGGATGATAAAGCAGGTGTGTTGTTCAGATTACATCTTTATACAGTGCATATAATCATGCTTTCCTCTCTGTATTATAGTGGAATATAACATATTTGTAATTAATATTAGAAACATTTTTTTACTTTCAATATAAGTATATTGATAAATGATAGTAGTATATAATAATTATTATATAATAATAATAATTTTATAATAATTGCTTTTTCCCAATAACAGACTATGATGATGTGGGGGAGGAGCCAATAAGACAGAGATTGACTGTATAACTTAAACCACACCCACTGCCTAAAGACATTTTTGTTGCAAGCCACCAATATTTCTGTATATTTTTATTTTGATATCAGTCACACTTTACATTTAAAGTTCATTAGTAAATGCATTTACTAACATGAACTATGTATGAATAATACTTGCAGTTATTAATGCAAGTATTGCAACAGTGCAGCATTTATTAATCCTAATTCAACATTTACTAATGCATTATTAACATCCAAATACATGCTTGTCAATATTAGTTAATGCACCTAAATTATATGAACAAATACTGTAGTGTATTGTTCATTGTTTGTTCATGTTAGTAAATGCATTAACCAATACAACCTTATTGTAAAGTGTTACCTTGATATGTCTTAAACCAATGACAGAGGAAAACGTGTGTTTTTATGACATTTTTTAGATGATTTAAATGTATCTAAATTTATTTTATCTATACATTTTTTTATATCAACCTTTAGTATTTAACCTGTTATAGCAGTTTGTGGATGAATCCTAACCATTTAACATTTCCACCACAGATTTACAGCACCATCATGTATCCATCTATGATCAGTATCATGTTTCTTTTGAATGTAGACTCCTTAATGGTGGACATTTATTATTCTGCTAAAAAAAATTTAATTAACTTTTTGCATTTGTTTACTTTATAAAAAAGTTTACAAACAGCTTTAAGCAATGCACTTTAAAATGTAATAGCTTTTTAAAAGGTTAGTTCAACTCATATTTACTCAGCATTTACTTACACTCTGGATTGAATTGTATTGAATTGATTCTACAAAGCAAATAAATCAAACTACCTGTGTACATACAGTAGAAGTGTGATTTTATTTGTCTCGTGTTGTAAAATCGATCTTCATTTGAAAGTGAGCAGATAAACTGATGGCTATAAATGTGATGTTAAGGTTTTCTGCAATGGATCTTGAGAAATGTGTTTAAACCAAGTCTTATTCATCAAAATATAAACTTTGCCATTGAACAATTATTCACTGGCCTAAGAATTGAGCTTAATTAGTTGGAACATTTTAAATGTCGAAAACGTGACAAAACATTTTTGTAGTGTCGATCTTTACCCTGGACCAAAATAATTGTTCTGAGGTGCCTAATATCACTTGTTTTAATTAAACATAATTTAATAATGCAGTGATATATGATGCAGTTCCATAAACCTTTGACATGTTTAGCTTCTTCTGACCAGAGACAGTGTTTAGGTAAGTGGATTAGAGTCTGTTTATTTGAATAAAAATATAGTTTGTGACCAAATGCGAAGTGTGACTGATCAGTCTCCTTTGGTTTGTGTGTTTTAGCTCGTGCTTATCTCAGACTGTGTGGAAGGGACAGCTGCTGTTCCAGTGAGGTTTGCCATAATGCTGTCATCAGTGGTATGTCAGTGAGGCTCATGAGCTCTGATATATTAATGTATATGTATTTGTCTATCTTTCTGAATTATCCACCAAGATCACTGTACTGTCTGCCAGACAGTTGAAGTCTCATTTGTTACAAGGCATTTCATTAAAAAAATCACTTCTGTAATTTTGGCAAGCATGATGTTTGGACATTTCAGGTAGCTTTAGCACACTGTGGTCTTAGGCAGACTTTGACTTTGACTCTGGGAAATGATCTGGACCAGTGTTTCTCATCCACGTTCCTGGGGGACCACTGACTGTGCACATTTTCCACTTGCACATTTACCTGTAATGGGTGTGACAAATGAAGGGGACATCCAAAACATGCAGTTATTGGTGGTCCCCCAGGAACGTGGTAGGGAAAACACTGATCTTGACCATTTGTAAAACATTTTTAGTAATCATATGGCATAGTTAAATATTAGGAAACTATAAATCTGTAAAACTTTTCAAACCTTGTATATTAATATACATATCTAGCCCTTACAAGTATGTATCTTGTAATACATATTTGGGCATACATATGTCATCACTTTAATGCATGTTACAAAACAATACAATACAACGCAACATAAAGAAACGCAACATACAATACAATACAATACAATACAATATATTCATTCATTCATTCATATATTTTTCTTCTGCTTAATCCCTTTATTAATCAGGGGTCTCCACTGCGGAATGAACCGCAAACATATCCAGCATATGTTTTACGTAGCTGCAAACCAGCTCTGGGAAACACACATACACTTTCACGTGCAAACTTCACACAGAAATGCAAACTGGCCCAGCTGGGGCTTAAACCAGCAACCTTCTTGCTGTGAGGCATCATTGCTAACCACTGTGCCACTATTATATATTGTTTTTGGTTGTTATTATTTAAGATCAGACACTCTAAATTATATATCTTTATTTAACATTATTCAGATTTTGAATATAATAAATATGCTTTTAAAACTAAATGTTCTGTCATTCAAAATTCTGTGCAGTTTAATTTATAATTTAATTGTTTTGTCACTACTCTTGAATTATCAATGTATAGTAAATTAAATGTAGCTCACTGGCTGTCTCTGCTGGTCACACGTTGAACTACATGCTCATTTTTGTTGGCCTTCTGAAGGAAACGGCCTTTGTTTAAGGAAATTTCACATAAAATGTGTCACAATGTGTTTTGAGGAGAATCAATATTGGCTGCCTATAATTTTTGTAGTTTATGGGTTTACTTGAGCACTGTGTTCTTATAACATTTGTAATATTTTAACATGTACTATGCTTTTTCAGAGATGATAATATGTGTAAATATTGCATTGACATATTGTATGTTAATAAAGAGTATTTTGGGCAATTTCAGTTACTTATCAGTGTTTATATCTCGTCTATGCAGGTGTTCTGCAGGCTCTAATACTGTAAATAAACCGGAGAGTTTCCTGTCTCCTGTAAGTCAAGTGTGTGTGTCTGTGTGTTGTATCCCCTCAGTGTGATGTGTTGATGGGTGGGGATTGACACAGACAGTTTTGATATATATGGAGAAATTGAGCGAAGCGATCTCTGATTTGTCACTGCAGTTGTTTGATGATTTCCTCTGTTGTGTCTAATAAGGTAATAGCGGGTGTGATTGGAGGCTGTTTCTCCTCTTTCTCTCTCATTAAGGGGGCTCAGAGGATGCCTGTACTTCAATATTATCAGTGTGGAGAGGTGTTCTGGATGTTAAACATGCAAAGGGATAAAATGAAAATTCTGGTGCTTATTTTTCTAACCTCGACTCTAATGTTCAGCACTGCTGGTAAGTATACAAAAAATGATATCAAGATAAGTTAATCGTTTATTTTTCTGAAGTTGTCTGACTATTATGTACTTAAATTAAGCTTGACTTTAATTTGGTGTTAAAAAAATCACAGCATAAACATGTATGTCAGCATATGTAAACATGTTAGCATAAACATGTAACTGTATGTCAGAACATTTTCAGTGTAATAGTGTATTCCTTAACAGAAAACGTATGATTGTCTCGCATGGTGTCATTTTGTTATTTCCTCTTACTTAATTTACCTAAAATTTAGTTTGTCGCATGATTTTGTGTACTAAGATGGTTCATTTTGATTTAATTTTTAGTTTGATTAAAGAAATTTGTGTTTTTATCACAGTTTTTTTTCCCGGTAAACAGTAAACAGAAAGGCAAACGTATATTATTCGATTCTGGGGTTTAATCTAACATTGCCCTTTGATTTTTTTCTGAATTTACATCTCGCAGTCCATAAATTATAGTTTTTTTTAACCTTTTTTATTTAGTTGTGTGTTCTGTGTTAAAAAAAAATAAATGGACAATTAGCGAAATCAGTCAGTCGATTTGACAGTCATACAATATAAACAATATGCCTGTTAAACTTTTTGTTTGAAAAAAAAAATTGCTTAGTAACTTAGGACACATAATCTTTTCAGCTCATTGCATACATTTTAATAACCATCAAACCCTTTTTTATTTAAACCTTTATTTTACCTTTTAAGAAAAATTATTAGTTCTCACTGTCATCCTTTCTTTTTCTCATTTAATACTGTTCATATTTCAGACAGAAAGATCGTGCGCTTAGTTGGTGGTCAAAGTCGCTGTGCTGGTCGAGTGGAAGTTTATCATGATGATCAGTGGGGAACAGTGTGTGGTGATTTCTGGGATATGGCTGATGCTGCAGTGGTGTGTAGAGAACTGGACTGTGGGGAACCTGTTGATGCTTTGGATGGTGCTCACTTTGGACCAGGATCAGGACCAATTTGGCTGGGTTATGTCATGTGTAGTGGATCAGAGTCTACACTGAGGAACTGTGGGTCATTGGGATGGGGTAAAAGCAGATGTAGTCATGGTAAAGAGGCTGGAGTCATCTGTTCAGGTATATTGATCCAGATTTTTACAGTACATCACTGAATGTTGTTCTCGTTTCATCAACTCTGATCTACTGTGTGTTCAACTCATATGGTTGTGTGATGGACACTTTTTTTTGTAAATTATGAATTATGTACAATTCTGCAAATATTTGCCAAAAACTTAGTAAATAAAAAAAAAGCCATTTTCTATATATCTATTGCTTTTTTTTCCTTTGTGTTGTTTCAGATGTCCGTCTAGTTGGAGGTTCTCGCTGCTCTGGAAGGTTGGAGATTCGTCATAATCAGACGTGGATGTCAGTGTGTGACGCTGCTTTTGACCAGCAGGATGCAGAGGTTGTGTGTAGAGAGCTGGACTGTGGGGCTCCTGTACAGGTGCTGAGAGCTGCTGCTTTTGACAAAGTAGACGCTCAGATGTGGACACAAGAGATTCACTGCAGAGGAAATGAGTCTCAGATACACCTCTGCCCAACATCAGCATCAGTCAAAAGCAACTGTTCTCATAAATACAACATTGATTTACTGTGTTCTGGTAAGGGTTTAGAAAATATAATCTGAGCAGTTTTTTTCATTTTATTGTAACATTTTATAAAAAAATATATATAATTTTTTTTTAGTAACACTTTTTTTTTTGCACTTCTAGACATAATAAATGTGAGACTGGTAAATGGCACTAGTCGCTGTGCTGGCACAGTAGAAGTTCTTCATAGAGGTCAGTGGGGAACAGTGTGTGGTGCTGCCTGGGATCTGGCTGATGCTGCAGTGGTGTGTAGAGAACTGGACTGTGGAGAACCTGTAGATGCTCTATATGTTGCCCGTTTCGAACCAGGATCAGGACTATTATCAGTGAAAAATGTTGGTTGTACTGGATCTGAGTCCACTCTAAAGAAATGTGGATTAATAGAGTCACCTGATCTTCATGTGTGTCTTGATAAGAATGCTCATGTAATTTGTTCAGGTAAGTTTAATTTTGTGTATTCATTATTCTAGTTCTTAATAGATAAGTTCATCCAAAAATTAAAATTGTTAATAATTACTCAACCACGTGTCCTCCCAAATCCCTGAAACTTCCTGTCATCAGGGATCCCTGAGAAACTTCTGACACACAAAATAAGATATTTTAGGTGAAATTTGAGAGCTTCCTCATCCCCCATATACAGCAACGGTCCCAACTTATATACTGACACTGAGCAATAGAAACTCTTGAACAAATTGATTATTTTTGTTTTAAGCTTACCAGAGTATTTATATAGGTTGTTAATATTCCGATTAAGCCACTGAAAGCATATTTGGTATTTTTCTGGACTTTAAAAAATCTGTAAACTTGTTGTCTGTGGAGGATGAGGGAGCTGTCTTAATTCTGTTCCAAAAATGACAAAAGGTCTTAGTAGGTTGGAACAACATGAAACTGGGTAATTAATTACATAATTTATGTTTTTTTTTTTGGTTGAGCTAACCCTTTAATATAAAATAATGATTCAATTTCATGATATGCTAATCATACCGGAGTCTTGCTTATGTGCTGGTTTAAGGTCTCTTAATTCATAGTTAATCTGAAACCACCTCTCATTTTTTCAGAGTTCATTTTAGAGATTTTCTCTAAAGCAGACTTAAACAAAAACTTTTATTTCTCCTTTATACATTTTCAGTTTGTCACCAAGGAAGCTATCATTGTTGAAACATGAACAATTCGGTTTTGTAATTTTAAATGCAAAATCTAATAAAAAGAAAAGTAGCTCAATTTAATAGAATTTTAAATATTTAGTTTACATTCTGTTATTATAAAAAAAAATAATAATTTTGTACTTTTTAATTTTTAAAGATTTTTTTTAACAGAAGTCCGTCTGGTTGGAGGTTCTCGCTGCTCTGGGAGGTTAGAGATCCTTCATGATCAGACATGGATGTCAGTGTGTGATGCTGCCTTTGACCAGCAGGATGCAGAGGTTGTGTGTAGAGAGCTGGACTGTGGGGCTCCTGTACAGGTGCTGAGAACTGCTGCTTTTGACAAAGGAGACACTCAGATGTGGACACAAGAGATTCACTGCAAAGGAAATGAGTCTCAGGTACACCTCTGTCCAACATCATCGCCTGAAAACAGCTCTTCACATGAAAATTATGTTGGCTTGGTGTGTACAGGTGAGTCTTTTTTTCTTTCTTTTTTTATAAACTTTAAATAAAATCTAATTTACAATTACACTATATAAACGTTTAGTTACATTAAAGTTTTAATCTCTGTGTTATACGTTTTGCCTCATCATTAGATTTGTCTGTTTGTTGTTTTTGCTTCCTCTTTGTTCAATTTATAGACCATTCGAGAGTGAGGTTGGTTGGTGGTCACAGTCGCTGTGCTGGTAGAGTGGAAGTTTTTCATAGAGGTCAGTGGGGAACAGTGTGTGATTATTTCTGGGATATGCTTGATGCTGCAGTTGTGTGTAGAGAACTGGACTGTGGAGAACCTTTAGATGCTTTGGATGGTGCTTACTTTGGACAAGGGTCAGTACCAGTCTGGACAAATATCATGGTATGTACTGGATCAGAGTCAACACTAAAGAACTGTGGATCTCTAATTTGGGGTTCTTATGACTGTGATTATTCCAAAAATGCTGGAGTCAAATGCTCAGGTAAGCTGCTTCAAACTTAGTTCTGTTTTTTAATAATTGATAGTGCTGCATCAAAGACATTGTTCACCAAAAAAAAAGAAAGAATATCCTGTTATGATTTTCTTCATTTCTTTTTAATTCTAAATAATTCCCTCTTTTCAAGAGTTATGATGACATGACTGAATAATTTAATTAGAATACTTTTTTTCTCACTTGAAATTGGTGCTTTGTGAAATTGCACCATTAGATTAATGAAATGTATGTTAATTTATTTTTTCATTCTTATGGTTTCTATTTCAGGAGCCAGACTTGTTGGAAACTCCAGTTGTTCAGGGAAAGTTGAGATTCTTCATAATCAGACGTGGATGTCAGTGTGTGACGCTGCCTTTGACCAGCAGGATGCAGAGGTTGTGTGTAGAGAGCTGGACTGTGGGGCTCCTGTACAGGTGCTGAGAGCAGCTGCCGACAATCGAGATGCTCAGATGTGGACACAAGAGATTCACTGCAGAGGAAATGAGTCTCAGATTCACCTCTGTCCAACAACTTTTCATAAAAACAACTGTTCGCATAATGATGACCAGAGGCTAATTTGTGGTGGTGAGAGTTAAAATATTGAAAGTATCATATCTTTAACTGAGCGTGAATTGCTGGCCACTCCCTAATTCAATAGACAGGCTGATTTAAGGGCTGTAAAAAAAACAACAACTTTTGAATGCAATAAAATGTGAGTAAAAAAAAGAACGAATAAATAAAAACAGCAAATGCCCTTTAATACCACATGCTCACTGTTGCTTACATTAGAGTTTCTGAAGATTGCATGAACCAGTGTAGCATTTCATGACATGACATCATGATTTCAAAAGACAAACTGTTTTAATTATTTTATTTTATTATGTTTCAGAATAAAAGCATTGCTAGATACTGTAGGTGGTGAGCATAATCTGGTTAAAATGTGGCTAAAATGCCAACAATGAGACTATATCTCACAATATACTTAGACTGCATAAAAATGTCATGAAGATGTCTATTAATAACAATGGGGATGTTTTACATAAACACAGTCATGTCACTGTAAAATCATGAAAACTGCTTTTGGATTTGTACTGAGCCAGTGTAATTTACCAGTTAACAGTATTTTTTCTTGTATATGAATCTACAGTATACAGTGTTATGTAGGCACGCTCACAGTCACTTTCTCTATTTTTCTCTACATTAGAGAAAAAAAGTATTAAGCTGGTTGGTGGTCACAGTCCTTGTGCTGGTCGAGTGGAGGTTCTTCATAGAGGTCAGTGGGGAACAGTGTGTGGTGTTGGTTGGGATTTGGTGGATGCTGCAGTGGTGTGTAGAGAACTGGACTGTGGAGAACCTGTAGATGCTCTGGGTGATGCTCACTTTGGACCAGGATCAGGACAAATCTGGATGAATTTTGTCATGTGTACTGGATCAGAGTCTACACTGAAGAACTGCGGGTCAATAGGATGGGGTCTACATAGCTGTACTCATAGCTTTGATGCTGGTGTCATCTGTTCGGGTGAGGAGTTTAACTTGTTTCTGAAGGATCTTTGTTACTTAATGAATGGTTTGTTTAGAAAATATCTTGGGTTAAATAATGTATGTGAGCCTGGTTCCCCAAAAGAATAGTCTAAAACATTTGTTTTTCCTCTGTGTACTGTGAACTGAACGGTGTGATTCCTGTAAAATGAAAAACAGGTCATAAACCTTCCAGACTCGTTAATGGATTTAACCTGTGCTCTGGGAGGTTAGAGATTCTTCATGATCAGACGTGGATGTCAGTGTGTGATGCTGCCTTTGACCAGCAGGATGCAGAGGTTGTGTGTAGAGAGCTGGACTGTGGGGCTCCTGTACAGGTGCTGAGAGCTGCTGCTTTTGGTAAGGGAGAGGCTCAGATGTGGACACAAGAGATTCACTGCAGAGGAGATGAGTCTCACTTTCAACTCTGTCCACCATCACCACAAAAACACAACTGTACTAGTTACAACAATGTTGGACTGGTCTGTTCAGGTAAATTATCAATTTTGAAAGTCTCTTCATTTGTGTTTGATACAATATTTATTCTCTGTCAGTTGCATTGTACATCATGTTAACTCCCAGTTCTTTGTTTAGGTTACACAAAAGCCAAGCTAATAAAAAGTATGGTCAATGGTTCAGTCTCTTGTTCTGGAAGAGTGGAGCTTCAGTATCTCAGTGAATGGGGCACAGTATGTGATGCATGCTGGGATATGAGAGCTGCCAGTGTCCTCTGTAAACAGCTGAATTGTGGGATTGCTGTGTCTGTTGTGGGATCAGACTGGTTTGGAGAGGGAAGTGGTGAAATCTGGGCTGATGTGTTTGATTGTGACGGGAATGAAACAAAACTCTCCGAATGTTCAATCTCTTCATGGAGTCGAGCTGAACGCTCTCATAGACGAGATGTTGGAGTCATCTGCTCTAGTGAGGACATTTTATTAAAAAATTTAATTCAATAAGTTACATGTATTATTATCATCTTATTAAACTGCCTCATGTTTTTCTTCAGACTCATCTCTGGCTCTTCATGAGGGTCTGGTGCGGTTGTCTGGAGAGAGTCAGTGTGAGGGGCAGGTGGAAGTTTTGATCCAGCAGGTCTGGAGGAAGGTTCTGCTGGACTCCTGGAGTCTCACTGAATCCTCTGTGGTCTGCAGACAGCTGGGCTGTGGCTCTGTGCTCAACTTCTCCGGCTCCTCTTCATCCAGTCCTGAACACAGTCATGAGTGTGTGATGGGCTTCCAGTGCTCTGGGAGTGAAGCTCATCTGGGGAACTGCAGCTCTCCACAAACTCTCAACTGCAGCTCCACACAACAGCTGTCAATCACCTGCCTTGGTGAGAACAACAACATCTGGACAAATTCTGGAGTTGTTCCTGATCAATAATGTGTTTCTCTTTCTCTGAATATCAGGCCGCGGGTCCATCAGGCTGGTGGGTTCTGGGGGAGACTGTGCAGGGAGGCTGGAGGTTTTTCACAGCGGCTCATGGGGGACAGTGTGTGACGACTCCTGGGATATTAAAGATGCCCATGTGGTGTGCAGACAGCTGCAGTGTGGAGTGGCCCTCAGTAACCAGCAGGTACCAGCCTGGTTTGGTCCTGGTTCTGGACCCATATGGCTGGATGAGGTGGAATGTGAGGGGAATGAGACGTCCCTGTGGAGCTGCTCTTCTCCAGGCTGGGGAAAACATGACTGTCGACACAAGGAGGATGTAGGAGTCATCTGCTCTGGTAAACTGGTTTTCACTCAAAAAGTTTGCAACCACTGTAAGCAATTTGCCAGCAGCCTTTACTATTTGAAAAACATTGCTTGTTTTTGCCTTTTGGCCAAATTCTTTGAAAAACTAAAATCTTATTATTTATATATATATATATATATATATATATATATATATATATATATATATATATATATATATATATATATATATATATATATATATATATATATTTTTTTTTTTTTTTTTTTAATTGTAGAGTTTAAGGAGATCAGGTTAACTGAGGGCTGTGAAGGGAATGTGGAGGTTTTCTATAATGGATCTTGGGGAAATGTGTGTTACAACAAGATGGACAGAGACACAGTGAGTCTGATCTGTCAAGAGCTGAACTGTGGAAGATCTGGCAGTGAACCCAGTTATTCAGAGGGGTTGAAGTCTCATTATTGGCTGGATTATTTTAAATGTCGGCAACATGACTCCAATTTATGGCAGTGTCCATCTGAACCCTGGGGACAGAATGACTGTGATAATGAAGTGGCCAAAATCGCTTGCTTTGGTAAGTTTTTTATTCTTTTATTTGTTCTGTATTGTATGTTTATGTGTTTTTATAAAGTACTACATAAACTGCTTTGTTAGTTCATAATCATTTTTATAATCATAAAGGGTTTAGACTGAATTATTTAATTAAACTAATATTATAGTGTTTTGTTTATCAAAGAATGAAACTATAACATTTTATTCACAGAGAAAGTAAGTGATGAGTCTCCTCACAGTCATCTGACATGTTCTCACAAAAAACAATGTTCCAGTAAGTTATTTAACACAATACATATGAGTATGTAAATTATGTAAATATTGTTTTTTAATATATGATTAGAAAAAAAGTTGTGTATAAACAGTATATACAGTAGTATTTCTAGTGAATAAAATCATACAGTGAATAAATTATGAAAGAATCTATATTATATATGGATGGATGGATGGATGGATGGATGGATGGATGGATGGGTGGATGGGTAAGTGGGTGGGTGGGTAGATAGATAGATAGATAGATAGATAGATAGATAGATAGATAGATAGATAGATAGATAGATAGATAGATAGATAGATAGATAGATAGATAGATAGATAGATAGATAGATAGATAGATAGATAGATAGATAGATAGATAGATAGATAGATAGATAGATAGATAGATATTTCTATAGCTTCAGGTTGAAGGGCAAGTAAACATTACACTGCAGCAGATCAGTGATGTTGATGTGTGTTTCAGCTCATGTTCCTCTCAGACTGCGTGGAGGAGACGGCCGGTGCTCTGGGAGGCTGGAGGTGTATCATAACACTGTGTGGGGCTCAGTCTGTGATGATCTCTGGGACATCAGCGATGCTCAGGTGGTCTGCAGGCAGCTGGGTTGTGGAGCAGCACTGAGGGCTGATGGGAATTCAGCCTTTGGTGCTGGTGAAGGTGTTGTGTGGCTGAACAGAGTCCAGTGCAGAGGGAATGAGCTTCACCTGTGGAACTGTCCTCTCTCCCTGAACAACCACACTGACTGCTCCTACAAAGAGCACGCTGGACTCACCTGTGCAGGTCACTAAACATTTTAAAAATCATTTTACTGCTAGGATTTATTTTTTACCCAAATGAATGATTTGCATGATTTTGAATCTATTTTAATAGACTTGCCGGATATATCAGTGTCCACTACTCCTGCCACATCAACATCATCTTCTGCTGCAGTTTCTCAGACAGTGAGCTCAACATCAGTCTCTCCTCCACAAACTGGTCCAGAAACTCTCCCAGTCCCCCCAGTGCTGCTGATTGTACTGGGAGTTGTGCTCTTACTGCTCTTAGTGCCGCTGCTTATACTGATTCAGCAGAACAGAGTGATGAGGAGAGGTAGGAGAGATCCAGAGACTGTCATATTGTGTCTTCTTCAGTGTGTGATCAGTCATGTGTTGTGAACTGACAGCAGGTTTGTGTCGACACTCACAGCTCTCTCTAAAAGGAGACACAGAACCACCACTGAGGCCATTTATGAGGAGATTCAGAACAGAACCACTAATAGACACAGTTTTTTTACTCAAAGGGGTAAGTAAATCCTGAGGGGTATGAATAATGTTGGCTTCACTGCATGTCAAACTGTGTTGATTATGTAGTTCAAGAGGGTAATCAATTTATTTAGAGGGATAAGTAAAGTAAATCACATATATCCAATAAATTTTTGTAACTTTACATGTTTTATATGACATTTTACAGTTCCTGTTGTATGATCTAAAAAAATTGGTTATATTCCTCCATAACAGGTAAAGATGTGCTTTCTGAACAACAGCATTCTGGGTATGAAGATGCTGATGACCTTCTTTCAGGTTAGAGGACTGAAATACAGTGTCACCTGCTACAGAACTGAATGTAGCCTGTGTTAAATGAATTGGTTTACCCAAAAATGAAAATGTACTCACTATTTACTCACCCTCAAGTGGTTTCAACCCTTTATGAGTTTCTTTGTTTTGTCAATAGTTAGCTTCTTTTGTGTTCAATAGAAGTGAAGCAAGAGTAAATGATGACACTATTTTCATTTATAGATGAACTTGTTTCTTTAATTTGTATATGACAGCAATTAAAAGCATCCCTTTATCTATTTATATTAACACAAACGTAATTTAGGTAAAGGAATACTGAATCTTTTTTTTCATGTATGTGAAGCTGGACCTCACTCCTATGATGACATCTCAATTGATGGCCCTGGAGGTCAGTGGCTTTAACTTATTTAACTTAAAGCCGTCAAATTATGCTTCTTTTTTTGTTTTTTACATTTTCAGCACATAGTAACTTGTTGTTAGATTGGACTCATTAAAGCGACTTTGTTGCAAGCAGTTACCACAGAATCAACAAACAGTAGCTAATCTGAAATTTGCATGATAAGTGGTGGCTCAGTGGTTAGCACTGTCACCTCACAGCAAGAAGGTTGCCGGTTCGAGTCCTGTCTAGACCAGTTGGCATTTCTGTGTGCAGTTTTCATGTTCTCCCTATGTTCGCATGGGTTTTCCTTTCCGACCAAAGACATGTTGTATAGGTAAACTGGATGAAATAATTTGCCTATAGTGTGTGTGTGTGTGTGTGTGTGTGTGTGTCTGTGTGTGTTAGTGTGTGTGTGTGTGTGTGTGTGTGTGTGTGTGTGTGTGTGTGTGTGTGTGTGTGTGTTAGTGTGTGTGTGTGTTAGTTTATGGGTGTTTCCTAGTACTGGGTTGTGGCTGGAAGGGCATCCACTTTGTAAAACATGTGCTGAATTAATTAGCGTTTTTGTCCACTGTGGTGACCCCTGATAAATAAAGGACTACGCTGAAAGAAAATCGATGAATAAATAACATCTGAAAAGCAAAGGGGTCTACAGACTCATACTGAACTTTTATTTAGTTTGATGTACAATACATGAATTTGTCTTAACAGTTGTGCGAGCATTCAATGAAAGTGAATAAAGTATTGATGGTTAATGTTACTCTCAGTTGAGTCAATAAAGACTCCATGGACTCACTCAGTTCACACGCCGAAAAACAACTCTCATTCCCATGTGGTTTTCGGCTTGGGATACTTGTTTCTTGATAAACAAAGGTAAATAATAGCCATTTGATTAAACGAAAATTTAACATTTGCTGTTTTTTTTCTTCTTTTCTCTTAACTAATCTAAAAGAACAAGTATTGTCTGAGAATTACGATGATGTAGTCGTTGTTGGATCGAGACATTCTGCTACAAGTATATTTCTAATACTTATTTCCACCGTTTTTTTTTTTATATATGTATTTTGGGTTAATTGTTTTTTATTTGATTTTTTTATAGATGACTTACCAGAAAACTATGATGATGTCATTGTCGTGCGGCAACTCTCCAACGATAAAGCAGGTGTGTGCTTCAAATGACACTTGTTTACATACAGTAACTTTTTTTTCTTTCAATTATTCTGCCAGATTATTTTTGATTAATAACTGAAGCATTTATTTTAGAGAGTGATGAGGATTATAGTGATCTAGATGTCAGGGAGTATGCAAGTGACATGTTTGGTACGTTATTGACACCGTTTTATTTTATATTTTCTCATTTCCATTGATAATGACAGCTTATTTAAATTAACTGCTGCTATTGATGAGTTCATAATAATACTTTTTAAAAGCTTATATTGATTCTGTTGTTTTTGCTTGTTTTCTAATACCAGGTTATGATGATGTGGGGGAAGAACCAGAAAAACAGGAAGCAAATGTATAACTCACTTAGTGTTTCACTTGTTTTAAAGCAAGTTTTCTGCAGATTTAAGAAGATACTATCAAATGTTCTGCTGTTGTTTCCCTGTCATTTTTGTAATGATGTTTTTTATTGAAATAATTTCATAACTTGCTCTCATGGCCTTTTCAGAATGTTTAGGTTTCTTTTTTCTAATGTTTTATAATGGAATTTAATTTCAGTCATGCAGACATATCTGTTTAATTTTCCACCTAAATGTTTATTTTTTTATAAACATTAATTATGATTTCAGATGCCATCCATTTATCCATTTACCATGTATCCTTCTCTGTTCCAGTCTCATTTTACAAATACTTCATCTTGCAAACATAATATTCCCATTGAATATACTTTAAACCCTCTGATGGTGGACTTTTATATTTTTTAATTAACCTAGGAATGTACTTTGAGAAATATCTTGATAAACAGCTACCATGGGATCTTCATAAGAATGTAATAACTCCTTTAAACTAGCAGAAGAGCTTATTGTTCACTTTATATTTAGGAGAGGAGGTTTCTGACAATGAGACATTGTTTGTATACACTTTTTAATATTGAGACTTTATGTTTGTATTATTTTAAGTAGCTGTTTTAGATTTTAATCCAGTTTAAATGTGTTGAATTGCTTCGAATGTTTTCTGATGAGGAATAAAATCAAACTTGAATTTGAATGGTGTTATTTTATTGTCTTGAAACTGGGGAATGTTGCAACCCAATCTGTTGTAGCACTGGATTTGTGTGCACAAAATGTAAATGTTTAATATAACAAAATAGTGTGTGTTGTTTTTGAGGAATAGTCCTTTGAAATATCTCTTGTTCATATCAGCAGTTAGTTATCAGTGCCCATATCTTTCACTGCAGGTGCCAGACTTTGACGCTGTATCTAAACTCAAGTGTTTACCACAATCGCTCTTCTCATGTCAGATGTCAGCACTTTAACTTTATTTTTTCACAGCGTACTCAGTGAGGCGTTTTTCTGAGGTATGGGAGTAGTTCTCTTTATAAGCAGCTGGATATATATCGAAAAAACTGAAAATGCTTCTGTCTGATTTGTTGCCGAAGCTGCTGATTTCCTCTGCTAACTCTCAAAAGTGATAAGAAGACTCTCTTTCTTTAGAATCTCACGAGAGGTTGTAGAGGAGATGAAGATGAAGAGCTGTCTGACAGTCCTTTTGATGTCTACAGTTGTTACACTCCCCAATGAAGGTAAGGTAATCTTCAGTTAGGGGGATTTTCTTGTTTGTTTGTTTGTTTGTTTATTTGTTTGTTTGTTTGTTTGTTTGTTTAGTTGTTTAATATAAAATGTATGCCTAGTGTGCAAAATCTTGTTAGTCTAAAATGATGTTTAGAATTAATTATCTTAATAAACTAATGCATTATTCGTTGCACGGTTTACTGGTACTATGGTAGTATCACGATACTTTGGCTTCAAAATACTGGCGGTGCTACTGTGGTTTGTAAATGGTAGTATCCTCATTAATGGTTTATCTACAGTAAATGTTGGACGTGGAGGAAAAATCACTAAAAACTCACACGTTTTTGCAACAATAGATCATTTTATTGGAATAGTTTGTGGAACCCTTTAAGGTTGCAAGTTTTCTGATGTTTTCTGAAGTTTAAAACTCACATCTGAATCGATTCATTTCTGTTTCTCTCAATATGATTTAGTAGCTACAACAACCACAGCAATCTCTTAAAGAGAACGACTCACAAAGTGAAATTCTGAATTACTTTGGATTGTTACCCGATAAAAAAATAGTATAGTTTGTATCTTTATTTTAATGTATTTTTTGTTGGTCAGATATCTACAAAATAAACAAAAATAATGAATTTTAGGTGAAATGACGTGATAATAATAATTTTTTCAATAATAAGGGAATTATGAATTAAATTAAAGACCTATTATAACATGTAAAATATAGTAATTCTGACCATTTTCTTTATAATTTGAGTTATGATTTAAAGTAGCGCAATACTACTTGGTGTCATGATACTTCAGCTGGTATAGTATCAGTGTTGCTGTCACTTTTTTTCCCACTATAAAAAAAAAAGTATGTCCTTTTCATTTAAATAGCAACGTCATGTGTCACATTTCCAAACTAGTTGAGTAAAAAAAATAGTAAAAACAATTGTTAAAAAAGTTTGAAATATAGTAAAATGTTTCTGGAGAGCATCCAGTTCCAGAAATGTATACAAAAAATGTCTTTCCCTTTCTTGTGTACAGGGGAAGTGAGATTAGTTGGTGGTAACAGCCCCTGTGCTGGTCGAGTAGAGGTGTATCATAAAGGTCAGTGGGGAACAGTCTGTGATGATGGCTGGGACCTAAATGATGCTAAAGTGGTTTGTAAAGAACTGGGCTGTGATAAAGCATTACGTGCTGCTGGCCTTGCTCGCTTTGGATGGGGATCAGGACCAATCTGGATGGGTGCAGTTAATTGTACAGGATCAGAGTCAAGACTGAAGGATTGTAAATCAAGGAGGAGGGGTGTAAGTAACTGTAAACACGATGAAGATGCTGGAGTTGTCTGTTTGGGTAAGTTGGCTGGTAAAAACAAAGCCGAAAACTTTTAATATTCATTCAACTCATTATTAATAAAATTCTTGTATTTTGGGGTTTATTCATGAAAATGTTAACATGCAGGTCGCCTTCCCAGACTCATAAATGGACCTCATCTGTGTGCTGGGAGATTAGAGATACAAAACATAAAGACGTGGATGTCAGTGTGTGATGTTGGCTTTGACCAGCAGGATGCAGAGGTTGTGTGTAGAGAGCTGGACTGTGGGGTTCCTGTACAGGTGCTGAGAGCTGCTGCTTTTGGTAAAGTAGAATCTCAGATGTGGACACATGAGATTCACTGCAGAGGAAATGAGTCTCACCTGGTTTTCTGTCCTGCGTTCAAGTCTTCACACTGTACCCTTGAAAATGCTGTAGGAGTAATATGCTCTGGTTAAGTAACATTTGACTGCTCTTTACATAAATATACATATAGTTAGATGCATATAAACTGATTAATTCTCCTAAAGTGACCATAAACAGTTTCAATAACCTCCACACAGGTTACACTGATCTCCGACTGGTAAATGGTTCAGACTCTTGTTCTGGAAGAGTGGAGCTTCAGTATCTCAGAAAATGGGGCACAGTATGTGATGCATGCTGGGATATGAGAGCTGCCAGTGTCCTCTGTAAACAGCTGAATTGTGGGATTGCTGTGTCTGTTGTGGGATCAGACTGGTTTGGAGAGGGAAGTGGTGAAATCTGGGCTGATGTGTTTGATTGTGACGGGAATGAAACAAAACTCTCCGAATGTTCAATCTCTTCATGGAGTCGAACTGAACGTTCGCATAGACGAGATGTTGGAGTCATCTGCTCTAGTGCGGACATTTTATTAGAATACATTAATAAATTACTTGTATTAATATCTTAATAAACTGCCACATGTTTTTCTTCAGACTCGTCTTTGCCTCTTCATGAGGGTTTGGTGCGGTTGTCTGGAGAGAGTCAGTGTGAGGGGCAGGTGGAAGTTTTGATCCAGCAGGTCTGGAGGAAGGTTTTGCTGGACTCCTGGAGTCTCACTGAATCCTCTGTGGTCTGCAGACAGCTGGGCTGTGGCTCTGTGCTCAACTTCTCGGGCTCCTCTTCATCCAGTCCTGAACACAGTCATGAGTGTGTGATGGGCTTCCAGTGCTCTGGGAGTGAAGCTCATCTGGGGAACTGCAGCTCTCCACAAACTCTCAACTGCAGCTCCACACAACAGCTGTCAATCACCTGCCTTGGTGAGAACAACAACATCTGGGCAGATTCTGGAGTTGTTCCTGATCAATAATGTGTTTCTCTTTCTCTGAATATCAGGCCGCGGGTCCATCAGGCTGGTGGGTTCTGGGGGAGACTGTGCAGGGAGGCTGGAGGTTTTTCACAACGGCTCATGGGGGACAGTGTGTGACGACTCCTGGGATATTAAAGATGCCCATGTAGTGTGCAGACAGCTGCAGTGTGGAGTGGCCCTCAGTAACCAGCAGGTACCAGCCTGGTTTGGTCCTGGTTCTGGACATATTTGGCTGGATGAGGTGGAGTGTGAGGGGAATGAGACGTCCCTGTGGAGCTGCTCTTCTCCAGGCTGGGGAAAACATGACTGTCTACACGAGGAGGATGTAGGAGTCATCTGCTCTGGTAAAGATTTACTTATGATAATTACTGTAGCTTCTACTACAGTATAGTTAAATAGTTTTTTAAATATTTGGAATATTGTATTGTATTGTTAAATAATAATTTACTATTTAAAAAAAAAAAAAAAAACATTACTGAATTTAATTGTATGCCATCCGTTTAGAATTTACAGAGATCAGGTTAACTGACGGCTGTGAAGGGAATGTGGAGGTTTTCTACAATGGATCCTGGGGAAATGTGTGCTTAAATCAGATGGACAGAGACACAGCGAGTCTGATCTGTCAGGAGCTGAACTGTGGAAGATCTGGCAGTGAACCCAGTCATTCAGTGAGCCTGAGATCTGCTCCTAAATGGTTGGATCATCTTAAATGCAGAAAACATGACAAAACATTGTATCATTGTCCATCTTTACCCTGGGGTAAGAACCACTGCTATATAGATGAGGTGGCCAAAATCACTTGCTCTGGTAAGATTTTATATAATGGGTTATTAAAGGTTAAATGATATGTTTTGATAAACATCAGAGTTTCAAATATCGTCATTTCAGAAAAAGAGACTGATGAGTCACCAAAGAGTCATCTGACATGTTCAGCATTTCCTCACCACAAACAGTGTTCAGGTGAGGAGGTTATATTATATATTTGAACAAAAAATGTAGTTTGAAACATTTAGTACTTAACTGACCAATTATGTGTGTGTTTCAGCACATGTTCCTCTCAGACTGCGTGGAGGGGACGGCCGGTGCTCTGGGAGGCTGGAGGTGTATCATAACGCTGTGTGGGGCTCAGTCTGTGATGATCTCTGGGACATCAGCGATGCTCAGGTGGTCTGCAGGCAGCTGGGTTGTGGAGCAGCACTAAGGGCTGATGGGAATTCAACCTTTGGTGCTGGTGAAGGTGTTGTGTGGCTGAACGGAGTCCATTGCAGAGGGAATGAGCTTCACCTGTGGGACTGTCCTTTCTCCCTGAAGAAGCACAATGATTGCTCCCATGAAAAGCATGCTGGACTCACCTGTGCAGGTTACTGACAGATTTTTTGATTATTTGAATTCTAGTAATTTTATTTATTTTAATTAGTAATTTGCATGATTTTGAATCTGTTTTAATAGACTTGTCAGGTTTGTCAGTGTCCACTACTCTTTCCACATCAGCATCATCTTCTGCTGCAGTTTCTCAGACAGTGAGCTCAACATCAGTCTCTCCTCCACAAACTGGTCCAGAAAATCTCCCAGTCCCCCCAGTGCTGGTGATTGTTCTGGGAGTTGTGCTCTTACTGCTCTTAGTGCCGCTGCTTATACTGATTCAGCAGAACAGAGTGATGAGGAGAGGTAGGAGAGATCCAGAGACTGTCATATTGTGTCTTCTTCAGTGTGTGATCAGTCATGTGTTGTGAACTGACAGCAGGTTTGTGTGTCGACACTCACAGCTCTCTCTAAGAGGAGACACAGGACCACCACTGAGGCTGTTTATGAGGAGATTCAGCACAAACACTTCACTCAGGGGGGTGAGCATGCGAAAACAGATTGGTTTTATTATTTATAATAAAAAATGTAACTGTAGGTTTGAGTAGTCAAAATAGCATTGGGTGATTTTATTTTATTTTTTTGCATACTGCTGTTTTTGACATGGTTAAATTGTTAATCCTGTTAGTCTTCCTGCTGTTAACCACAGTATTCAGCAGTGAAAACCACAGTGCTGTGTTTGCATACTAGTGTTTTTACATACTCAAGTCAGCGAGAAAGCTCACAGGTGCCAGGGAAGTTTGAACAAGTGTAAATATCTACTATGTGTCTAATATCTAATGTGTCTGAACTCTTGTAATAATGTTAGGTTCATTGTGAAACTATTTGCTGGTTTTGTTATATTGGGTCTACACTGTTCGAAAAACTGGTAATGAGAATATTTTGGAAATTTTCTGCCAAGACATTAACTGACATTTAATTTAACCATAAAACCATGCACGAAACACACCAAATTATAAAATTATATAGAAATTTATATATATATATATATATATATATATATATATATATATATATATATATATATATATATATATATATATATATATATATATATATATATATATATAATTTTATTAATGTTATTATTTTATTATTGTTATTATTTTATTATTATTAATATTATTAATAATAATATTATTATTGTTGTTGTTATTTAATTTTATTTATTTATTTATTTTTTATCAAGTGTATGTTTTCTTATTTATGCAGACAAACTGGACCAAGATGCTTCTAAGGAGTGCCTCAGTGGTGTACACAAATGTGAGAATTTTCATACCTAAGCTTTTAAAAATGTAAATGCATTCCTAATAAATTAAAAAAAACAAATGTTATTTTTATATTTTATCAAAGATGTCATGAATCAGAGTTATGATGACGTCACAACCCTGCACGAAGGTAATTTTATAGTCTTTTTTTAAGTTGTTTTCTTTGTCATGAAATGTATTTACATAATAAGCATCTGCTGTATGTCTTTAGAAGTGATACTGAAGAATTATGATGATGTCTTCTCTTGTGAACAAAATGATGGAGCTGTGATCAGTGAGTCTGGGGGTGTTCCAGTCAGGAAATATTATGTTCACTTCTGGTAACCAATTTAATAAAAAACATATGATTGTTCATCTACTTACTTGTTATCATTTGCTTTTAGTTAAAGTAGTCACCAACCGTATACACATTCTGAGAATATTTCAGAATTTACTGAGACTAATTTTGTTTATTACAGAGTTTAGGAAGGGAAGCCAGATGAAAAGAAGAATAATGAGTGAACTCCCTACAATAACTGTTTGAGCTGTATCTTTTTTGCATAATATTATTATTATTATCATTCATTCATTCATTTTCTTTTGGCTAAACTGCCAACTTATCCAGCATATGTTTTATGCAGCGGATTCCCTTTCAGCTGCAATTATTATTATTATTATTATTATTATTATTATTATTATTATTATTATTTATTATTATTATTATTATTATTAGTAGTAGTAGTAGTAGTATCATTATCATTATAATTATTATTATTATTATTAATATTGTATAATTTTAATATTAACATATTTTTTCCTGTAATTTATTATTATTTTTATTGTTTAGTGCTAAGGGTGTCTTGTTATTGTTTGCTAGATCTGAATTCTTGTCTTATTTTTTTGTTAAAAACTTATCTCACATTATTTTCATACACATTTCATATTTTAAATCATTTAGCGCGGCAAAGAGATCTGTTTGTTCTACCTGTCTGTCATCACACATGCAGTAAAAGCTGGTACTGAATTGTTGTCCCTGTCCTTGGTGCTGAAGGGCTTTTCCACACGTTTATGTGGATTTGTCCTAATCATTCCTGCAATACTGACGCTATTTTAATATATATAATGTTAGTATGAGACTTCCATAATGTTACTTAGAGCAAAAAAAGGTTCTAAAATAAGTTCTGACCTATCTTATGTTGTCTTTTGGTTAATTGCAAAACGAAATATATTTTATTTGTATTATTTTATGTTATAATCTATTTTGTTGTTGTTATTGAATATTTTTGTCTTGTTCATTGATTGTGCTGTTTGCATATGTGAAAAAACGAAATAAATGTGATATAAAAATTTATATTAAAAACATTTTTGTTTGTGCCCACGTGTTCCATTTTCATTTACATGTAAAAATAAAGCCAATTTCACACATTTTCCCTAGACTAGAGAAACCTCCGTAGAGGCTGAATTAGGTAAGGCATAACATCTATTTAATTCTGACAAATTGTCAGAGTCCTTTATTCAGAAAAGCACAATAGTTATTTGTAGCAAATGTGTTGTTTTGATCACAAAGGGTGCGGTCTCTTTAATTGCTGTTACGTCATTGAGATTTGATATGCGCGTGCAGTAATTAGTGGCGTTAATTTACAAACACGCAAACAAACGTCGACAGAACAAAGTATCGTAAACACATGCGTACTTAATCCAGGTAAATGTTTGTAAAGATAAATCCTGTCTCAAAACATGTTATAAATAACGTTAGGTCAAAATGACCAAATTATATCTGGCGTGAATTGGTTACTCAATGTCATCACTGTTCTAACAGTTTCATTAGCAATAGTATTCTTAAATAGTACATTAATAGATGACTACTTTAGACTTAGATGAGAAAGTTGTTTTTACATTGTCTAAATTTTGTCTGTGTTTTCAGGCTTGTAAATATAATCCGATTGTTTTCAGTGTATCTAAAGGAAGACGCTGCAGATATGAATACACATTATGGATGTTTACAGGTAAGAGAACTTCTTTCTTTCTGTATCTAGAGTACTTTAACTTGCCCACACAACTACCTACTATACATGTTTACTTCTATATCTTCTTACTTTGTTATTTCACGTTACTGTAATTGGTTTGTTAAAGCTTGTTATGTTTTAGGCTCTAACGTTACTCAAGTTATAAGTGTTATTATCAGACTATTAAGGCCTTGTGTTTATTTTACATTAAAAATTTATGGGGAAGCAAATTTAGTTCAAGTGTACCCATTCCCTTACGATTATTAATGTTACATAAACACATTAAACCCGTTTAAAATATGTTTTAAGTTTTATAGGTAAGCAAATTTAGTTCAAGTGTACCCATTCCCTTAAGATTAATTAACCTATTTTACTTTTTTGAACGAGCACAATATGTACCAGAACATATGTACAGCATGCACACATTCAACTGCAGTTCACTTGTTGATCACAAGGTGGAAACCTCTGACAGGCTAACCAGATCTAATCTACTATGTGATTGTGATGTGCATGTTGCTGTCTCTTTCAATCATTCACCATACTGTATAAATACAAAAAAACTAAACAAAACTAACATCCAGTCCTTAATTTTATTTTCATTTAATCTTTTTTAACTATTCCTCCAAATTTCTACCCTTAAAACAGGCCAAAAATGTCAGATTTAGGAGCACATTAGGTCACACTGCTTCGATTGTAATGCACAGCTTTGCTCTACAACATACACATTGTGCTCATATTAATCACTGGTCCATTATACACCGCAGTTCATCTGGATGATGTTGTAATGTGAAGTGTTACTCACAAGCAATTAAATCATGAGTGCGCTCCGACAATAATGGACGTGTTCTCAAAGAACAGCTGTGACTGACACCAGCTTTATCTGCCGTCTGGTCACCCTGGGAACGCAGGTATACCTATTAAATTCTTACAGAGACTGCCGAAGCAGACGGGGGTTTCCATAGATACCGCAGGAGGCCAAGTCCACAGTAAGCAAACCCCACCGAACTGTCTTTACACCCTGCGGCTTGAAATTTTCCATAACTTTCCAGCCTGTAATGAAGTTTAGGAGATAGATAGATAGATAGATAGATAGATAGATAGATAGATAGATAGATAGATAGATAGATAGATAGATAGATAGATAGATAGATAGATAGATAGATAGATAGATAGATAGATCTGTGTTGGAGGAACAACTTAAAATAATGTACATTAAATTACATTATAAATATTCTGCATTCTTTTTTCAGAAATAATGTAATCTTTGCCCATTAATGAGTTTTAGTTGTGGCTATATCATGCTAACAGTGTTTTACTGGATGGCCAAAGGCTCTTCAACAACCATTTTGTGGTCAAAATTAGAGATCAACAGTAATAGTAGACCAAAGAAAGATCACAAATAATATTTCTGAAGATTACATCAGGTAAAGGGATAGTTCACCCAAAATTTTAAATTCTGTCATCATTTACTCACCGTTTACTTGTTTCAAATGCTCATGAGTTTCTTTCTTCTATTGAACACTAAATAAGATATGTCGAAGAAATTTGAAACCACTGACTTTAATAGTATTTTTTTTCTTACTATGGAAGTCAGTGGTTCCACATTTTCAGCATTCTCCAAAATTTCATCTTTTGTGTTCAACAGAATGAAGAAATTCAACGGTTTCAGGGCAAGTGAATTGTTCAAATTACATAAATAATATTTTCTTTTTGCGTGAACTTCCCTTTAAAAATTCTAGGAAGTCTATAGGCCCTTGCTTTGAATCCATTCAGCACATCTGAGGCCACAAAACGTCATCTGTCTTATATACTGTTCTGATTTGATCATGGTTCTCTCTTCTTGGAGTCTTTTCCACAGCTTACTGACTGGATTTCTTAGGTATAACTCATGATGCACATACAATGATTTTTCTGAGAAATTCAGTCATGTGTAGGTCAGGACTCTGGTTCTGCCATTTCATTATGTCATTGTTTTCAACTTCAAGGAACTTCTTTAAACATTTAATTGTGTGACAGCAACATTGATATGTAGAAATGCATAACAGTTGGTGGCTAAGTGAACATAGAGAACAAGCTGGAGGAGCTTTTGATGTATTAGTTTTTGAAGTATTAGTATTCACTCTTCTATAGAGCTTCATAAAATGCCAAACACTTGCTTCTGAAAACAACATTCTAGAAATCGTGTTTTGCTATGGCTAAAAGGGTTCCTGTGACCGTCATCTGGACAGCCTGCTGTTGTAGACTTTCTGTCTCTTCAACAGCTCAACATCTTGCAAATTCGGTGAAAACTGGAAAGTTTGACTGCTAATTAAATAGATTTTGTCAGACAAGGTTTTTACTACCAGGTGCCAGATTTAAAAGACTCTAATTTAAGTTTTTATTCTGTGCTTTATAATATATGTAACTCATGAAATATGCTCTTTTACTCTGCTTGCTTTAAGTCTGTCTGTTTACTGACGCAGCCGATGGAGGAGATTAAGGCATGTAGAAAGGCACGTGGAAACGATGGGCGGGGAGGACTAGCCTTAAAGGCGCAGTACAACAAAACCGCTACCTGATGCAAAAAGGTATAAAAGAGAAACTTGTAAAAGGTATAATAAAACATCTGATGGGTGTTTTGAGCTAAAACTTTACAGACACATTCTGGAAACACGAAAGACTCATATTAAATCTGAAAAAGGGGTAACCTAAGTGCCCTTTAAGATTTTGAAGACATGTCCCCAAACCCAAACTTTGAACATACTGTACAGTATACTATAAATAACAATATCCCTCATTGATGGATAAGCAAATTGTACTAAAATGTAAGAATGAGAGTGTGAAAATTAATACAAATTAATTTGAATTAGATCGTTGAATTAGATTAATGTCTTGTTTTTTGTGTCATATAATACAGTATTTTTATTTAAATATATATATATATTTTTGCAGTAGCATGTTAAAATTCATTATGTTGGCGAAAAATGTCTGTAACCCTCCAGCTAACACATTCACGCAAGGCTTCTTATCATTCTATTGGCACCAGGATGGATGGATGGCTTTAGCGCACACCACCGGCAGGCTTATCTCCACTGCTCACCAAATTGAGATGGGACCTGAGTCTAGCCGACAGTATCAAACAGCTTTAGCCTGACCATGAGGGCATCAATCTACCTCCCCCTTGATGATCCTTATTCTCAAATCTCAAACCTGTCAAGCCAACAGCAGAATCTTGGCTTCCCGTAATGGACATCAAACTCTGACCACAGATGCTTTGCCTGCTGTTAAAAGCCTGGTGATGATGTGCCAGATGGAGAGCAGTCTTGCTTTAGGGGATATTACAGATATTTGCTAACTAATCTTTCAGAGCCCAGAATCACCTGTTTTATACTTACTATAAGACTGGAGACAAAATTAGGAGTATTAAAGGTGGTTCCCTATAGCGGTGTGTCAGTGGGTCGCATGCATAAGCATAAAATGAATAGCATGGATTAAAAAAAGATCTTTATTTCTTGCAATTTTTTAGTGGCTTAGGGTTTCTATCAGAGAAGCAAACATGCAATTGAGAGGAGGAATCGCATAAAAATCAACTAAATAAAAAAAAATTAGGATTGTTATAGATATGAAGTCATAATTGTGAGATATATATACTTAGAATTGCAAGATAGAAACTCACAATTATGAGAAAAACAATTCCGACTCAGAATTCTTTTTTTTTTTTTTGCCATTTTTATTGTCCTTAGAATGTGTACTTTTCTTCTTAGAACTGTGAATATATAAATTGCAATTAGCTGTGTCAACTTGACTTGAAAACAAGACAAATCATAAGATAGAAACATGCAATTGCATGAAAAGGGGCAGAATTTACACTATGTCTTAGCATTATACAATAGAATCAGAATTGAAGCTCCTATTAATTAATTTTCCATTTTCTGTGAGCTTTAACAATTTTTTTTCTAAACTTGAGGAGTTGGAGGTCTTCCAAAGATTAATTAAGAATAAATGCTGTTTTATTTGTATGCATCTGCACCCATAGCTTAGCTTGTTTAAATTACAGTACGACTGTGCGTGTTTTTGTGTTCGTGTCTGAGAGAGTCAACTCGGGTTATGTCTCGCAATGCAGTGATCTAACAGTGTACAGTTGGCGGCACCCACTGACTCTGAGAACACCAAGTCTCAGTCAATGACTCATGATGTGTGGAGTGGGCGTCTGCTGGACACTCATTCATAGAAATACCATTTCCTGTGTATAGAGCTTAGTTACTGAGCGCCACTGGGCAATTCACACGCAGATAAAGGATATTTTTGGTTTTAAATCTGTCTGTTTGTCTGTCTATCTATCTATTAGTCAGTTTATGTCCATTCATCCATTGTTAGTGTGTCCAGTTGTATCTATCAATTAATCAATCCATCCATCCTTCAATCTATCTATCTGTTAATTCATTTTTCTTTTTGTGTCAATACATCGATCATGAATTTGTTTGATTATATCCACTCTTCAATTCATCAGTAATATGTCCATTCATCCATCCAATGTTAGTTTGACGAGTTGTGTCGGTCAATTAATCAATTCATCCATCCTTCAATGCATTTATCTGTTAGTCGGTTCGTATCCATTCATCCATCCATCCATCCAATTTTAGTTTGTCCAGCTGTGTCTATCAATTAATTTGTCCAATCATATCCACTCATCAATCCATCTGTAATGTCCATCTGTATCCATCCATCCATATATTCATCCAATATTCATTAAGAATTAATCCATATTTCAGTCCATCTATCTTTTAATTAATTTGTTCAGTTGTGTAAATCCAGCAATCATAAATTTGTCCAATCATATCTACTCATCAATCCATAAGTAATATGTGTCCGTCCATCCATCCATCCATCCATCCATCCATCCATCCATCCAACCCAAAAGCAATCCGTCCATCGTACAAACCATCT